GATACTTAAAAAAATATAGATTTAATAACTTCACTAGTTGAACAGTGGTGTTTTTGATATTTATCAATGAGCTATCAATTGTTCCCACAAGGTATAATAAAAATGTCAGAGCAATTTTGAGCCGTTGACATAGAACACAAATTGTATAACTTTTACCTTTTTGAATGCCCTGGTTTCCAAGCATGTAATATATGTTTTGGTATAGCACATGATATGCAAAGTATAAAACATACTGTAAATGTTTTTCTAATAGTTCAGTTTTTTTTCCTATTGCATATGAAGTACTTCTTTAGACTAAACAGACTTGACTACTGTACATCAAGAGGCTCATCAGCAAGAACACATACCTGTACTGTATACGTAGTTTTCAGAGCTATGTAGTATTATACATACAGGACTTCACATAGCACATTTAACATTTTTTTACGGATCAATTTTTATATTTTGTCCCACGTGTTGTTTCTTCATGTAACTCGTGGTTTTGCACCTTCAAAGCACAGCATATCCAATAATTTCTATACAGTATATACAAGAAGTAATTGTGAAGATACTGGATTTCCAAGGTATCGTTGATCTTCATTTCCTTGTGGTTTGTGCTTTTTAAATTATATTCTTCTTCATTTCATATCAGAACAATCTCAGACTTGTTTGTAGAGAGCATGTGATTTCTTGTGAAACAATTTTTTTGTTTTCCATATTAAGTGTGGATTCATTTTTGGAAGTGAGGAAATTGCTTCTCTTCTGTACCCTGCAAACCAAAAAAAAGAAAAGAGCTCTAAATTCCGCTTAAATCTGAAATGCAATTGAAACTCCAAAACACATCAAAGATTGATCTGTGCAATCTGTGGACAGTGAGAACCCTTCCCTTCCCTTGACAAGGCTGCACTGATGCAACCTGTAGCTGTAGACATCACTTACAAGAAAAATAAGCTTCCACCCTGGTGTCATTCATCTGTTGTGAGAAATGAAAAGGAAATCGCTGCCAAAATATACACCAAATTCTCTTAAATTCCTGTTTTACTCTGCATTTGTTCACTCTATTACTAAGTTTACTGTATTGCATCTATGCTATTATATTTGCTAGAACTTTTCTAGAACAGCTAGAAAGTGGTGTATAGGCATCACAATGTTTTGAAACCCCAGGACTTTAATGTTTGTTTGTATTTGTTTACCTTACACAAAGTGAAGCCCTTTGGATGAGTTCAGACAGACAGACTCCAACACAGGGATAGAGTACCCATGACATTTCAACCACTGATCATGAAGCAGACCACACAAGTACTGATGAGATCACATGCAATCCACGCCACCTTGCCAATCAGACATCATGTCGCATCCCGAAACTCCCTCTCATAGTCTCAGAATAACACAGCAGTATAGGCTGTAGATGTTAGTTTGATTCTCTAAAACCGAACAGATCACAAGTACTGTATGATCTGTTGCTCAATAAACCTGAAATTAAATGCCTGTTACGTAACTTAAACTGTATGTTCATGTGTTTGAAAATATTGCAGAAATTGTGACTGAACTAATTCCTAGGTTTGTCCATGCAGTCTGATTTATCTTTCTTTACAATACTGCTACACTTGCTTACAAAATATTTTTTACAAATGTCTAAAAGAGACATACACTGTCAGTAGTCTGTCTTGACCATGTAACATTCTTGAGCTTATTGTAATCTTTAAAGTACCGTTCACCTCACTCTGTGTCTCTATGCAAAATAATTGTAAGATATAAAAATACTTAATCTGTGAGAGTTTAAAGAGCAGCTGAGAAAGATGAAGGAGGGATACTGGATGAATAGGAAGGTGAGACTTGGAAAGAAATGGGACTGGCTACAATCTCAGCTGAATCAAACCATACAGTAGCAGACCTGAAGGCTACGAGGGAGCAGAGGGCCCAGGACCTGGAAATTATCATTATGCTGCAGGAGCAAGTTTGGGAAATGGATGGACAAGGATGGACATAATAACCAGTTTGTGTGAAGAGGTTTCAGACCCAGAAGAAGGAGGCTGACCATATTCTAAGAGTCTCAAGAGGTGAGGGAGGAGCAGCACCCTGTGTCCCAAGAGCCACTGACGAAGCCAATTGGCACAAACCCCCAGAAGAGGAGGGAGATGATGGGTTACATTTGCCACCATGGCTAGAGCTTGAGGAGTAAGACCCCAAGTCAGAAAAGGGACCCCATAGAAAAGTGGAGGGGAAATAATAATAATAAATGCTTACACTTTTATAGCCCTTTTCTGGACACTCAAAGCACTTTACAGGTAATGGGGACTCCCCTCCAGCACCACCAATGTGCACCACCCACCTGGATGATGCGACGGCAGCCATAGTGCTCCAGAACGCTCATCAGTGGTAAACACTATTTTTGGGGAAGAGAACATAGTAATGAAGCCAATTCACAGATGGGGATTATTAGGAGGCCACAATTGGTAAGACCCAATGGGAACATTTGGCCAGGACGCCAGGGAAAAGCCCTGAGATTTTTAATGACCACAGAGAGTCGGGACCTTGGTTTTAAGTCTCATCTGAAGTATGGCACCTTTTTACAGTATAGTAGCCCCGTTACTATACTGGGGCATTAGGATCCACATAGACCGCAGGGTGA